CTCTTCACAAAACAAAAAAATACCAACTTAACCATTTTTAACTTAGAAATAAAATACCAATAATAAAATAAAGTTTCTATTAAAAATAATTTAACGGAAATTGTTTGAATAAGTTTAAGCAAGGATAAGCTTTGGCATTATTTTTACTATTAACCTATACTACTATATCTATACCTAAGTAATAATAGGGGTATGTAAACAACTTAAATTACAATTCTAAATATTGGCACGTATGCGTACAAAGTTAAAAGGTAAATGCCCAGGTGCCCTGTTATTCTTCTTAAAGTTTATAGTTCTTCACAAGGTTAAATATCAGTAGCTCATGAGTTTAGAACTAAATAACAATATTAATTAAAATGTTTAATAAAATGATTTGCATTAACCTTCCAATTATAAGGTGAAGCAAGGTTACTAAGTGTATTTGCAATATCTTTACCAAAACTAAGTCAAACCAAGTTCAACCTATTGGTATATTCTTGGCTTCGAATTTTTGTTTGATTGTAAGAAGAAATATTTGAGTTCAGTCTTCTATCCAAAACCAAAGTAAAAAAATTGCAGTTACAATTACGTCTACAAAGGTGAATTAGTCTAAATAGTAGTTAGGTTATGAGATTAAACATGGTTGAAGCATTTTTAAGAACAACAAATTAAATCTATAGGCAAGCATGTTTCTTGAAAACCTTTCTTCTCAGCTCGTGTGCATCGCAAGGAAAATCTACGCATACTGTTGAAAAGATATTTGCCTGTTGATGTGCAGAATCCCTTTATAAGTTAAAAAAAGCTCAACAATAAGCAGAACTTTTGTGCAAAATTTATTTTTCTTTTATGAATTTAAAATTTTAAAAAAATTAACATGGACCATTATGAGTTGCCATGCTGGTGACGAAATAACAACGAAATATAAATACAACATCAAAACAAACGGAAACTTGATACTAACACTTTGATTTATTTGGTTTTTGATTTATTCACTTTACTCGCTAATTGTTAATTAGTCCTTATATATAATACGTGAAGAGGATTTATACGTAACACTACTCCAGTAATGCACGGATATTTACAAACGATGTGTCAAAATTATGTGTTTTTTGTGTAGTCACCCCCTTTTACCAATTCTTGTCTACTTTATTCATCTGCTAGTCAAGCATTGTAAGCCATTCAACGAAGTTGAAATTATTGCATAACACTATATTAGAGGACCTTTAATTCAACAACAAAATATTCGTGTGTGCTAAGTGTTATAACTTCGACGGCGCTGCTTCAGCCGAGATCTACATATCTGATGCCGTCACACTTTTTGACCTGATTGGCGAAGATAAAGCCTTTTAAGTTAGGTATTGTATTTGCTATTGCTTTTATTAAACTCTGGGTTTGTATACAAAACTAATTCAAAGTGTCCTTTCTTATACATATCACTTTCTTATACAAACAAAAATGATATCAACTGCGAGACATCAGGAATAAACTATCGTCGTTAGAATGTGCGATTCACTAGTGTGACTTAACGGACGATTATTTCAATTAAATACTTCAATGAAAAAATTCAAACTGCAAGACAATGTTAGCTTTAATAAAAATATAAAACACTAAAATTACTTTTATAATAAAACAAATTAAACATATTATGACTTGTAATTTAGATAAGCCACTAAATAGCATTAATTTAGCACAAGTAATTAATCATCGAACATATATAAAGGTCTTAACATTTTTTAGATCACTGGCTATTCTTAATAGCCTACTGCACGTACAAGTCAACTTTAGCAATACGAACTATAGCACACCACGAAAACTGAAACAGCCTAAAAAATGCTACTATACTTTATTTTACTTTTATTTTAAAAATCTATAATTTACTTTTTTATGATACGTTTACTCATTTATTTTACAAATAGTTAATATGCAAAGTTTTTATGATTGAATTACACTGTGTTTTTAACCAATTTAATGACTTCAATGCCGTTAATTACAGTTAATTAGAGTGTTAAACTTTTGCCTAACAACTAAATTCGTCATAAGAAAAGAGTTCATTGGTTTGTTTACGATTTCTACAAGATTAGCATAGTAACATAGTTTGACTTTAGATTGTAGCAGCCAACCAGTCGTAATCGCGTTGCAGTAATTGGATTGTGATTTCTTATCAAATGATTAGGAAACAAATGTCAAGCCGATTCTGAGGGGGTCTTGCTTAGTTACCGGTACCTACCTGTGCTTTAAACGTATCTTCATTCAGGTTTATATGCATTTTATCTTGTAACTTATTTATTTCTTCGTAGTACAATTTTGCTAGTTGAGAACAGCAAAAGTTGGTAAGTAGTTTAGTTGCTTTGTTCAAACGAATCTTGCTATTTAATGTTAAGCACTCACATGGTCAAGTTAAAATACCCCCTCCGCAGCAAACCTGGGGACTAAGCGAATTTCCCCTTGTCTGATTAAATTTTTACTAAAATATTTCCATAAATAAGACATATTTATTCCCAATTTAAATAGCGTTAGATTTAACAAGTGCTTAGGTTTGGTGTTAGGTTGGTGGGGAAGGCAAAGAGTGTTTTTTGACCAAACGTCATTAGTATAGATAGTATGAAATAAATAAATTTGCCAAATTTTATCAACATATATCCATAATCAAGTAAACTACAAAAGTTTTAATTTTTTCCCTACGAATAACATGGGAATTGAAAATTTACACTTTTTTGAATTTTCTCTATAACTATTAGGCATACAACAATGCTTCAATATACTAAATTATTTCTTTTTTTAAGATCTTCAAAATGGTTGGGAAAGATATTCCAAAATGTTATGTTTTTCGAGTCAAAAATGGGAAAAATCCATTTTTACCCCCACGGTCATTTTATCATTTTACCCCCATTTTTTCCCATGGTCCGATCATGCTGGTTCGCGAACTCGTTCAAATAAATGTATGTTTAGACGTTTGTACCAAATTTCTTCAAAATCTGGTCACTTTTGTTCGAGTTATCGTGCTAACGGACACATATATTTATGAATTTGAACGAATGGTGTTTTTGGCCTCTGGGGACATCAAAATGAAAAAGTAAATCGGCCCCGTGCCTAGGTCTTAACAGGAGACCTACGGTAATAGCTACTTCCCTATAGGGAAATTCGCTAAAATAAATACTGTAGAGCGTACATAAAAAACGCACCTTTAATGTATTCTTGTTTGTTAGATTGACTGGCTAGTATAACCATAGATTACAGTATGGAACAGATCGTTGTTTACTCCTTTAATCCATCTATGGTAACAATGATCGGTACGAATGTTGTCTGAACGCTGTTTTCAAAGTGAAATAACTTAAGAGTTTTGATAATGCACTCCTTGGGTAAAATCTATCTCGTCCTAAAAATACAGGGTTATTCTAAATGATGGACCCATTTTTAATGCTTTATAATTTTTATACTATTAAACTTACCGCTATAAAATACACATCAAACGAAAAAGCAACTCAAAGAGTTTATGCCTTTCAAAGACACATCATTTAACAAAATCGATCCAACAGAACTGTAGATTTAATTGTACAAAGTTAAAAAGTAACCTCCAACTTTTTTTACCACTAGAAATTTGGAGGATACTTGACGTTTTTGCAAATAACTTTTAAATGGTAAGGAAATCGACCAAAGTGGAAGTTAATATTCCGAAAGAGAATAAAATTTCCTACAATCTACTATTACGCATATCTTGAAAATACTCAATAAATAAAGCCTAAATTTGGCTTAAAATAAAAAAATCGAAATTTAATGTTTGCTATGTTTATTGTCTACATTGGAGACGGGGATTTTCATTTTTTTTTTTCATTTTGAGGCAGTTTTTGGTACCTTTCTTGAGTATTTTCAAAAAAATGCATAGTAGTAGATTGTAGGAAATTTTATTCTCTTTCGGAATAATACCTTCCACTTTGGTCGAGTTTCTCACCATTAAAAGTTATTTTCAAAAACGTCAAGTAACCTCCAAATATGTAGTGGTAAAAAATTTGGAAATTACTTTTTAACTTTGTACAATTAAATCTATAGTTCTGTTGGATCGATTTTGTTAAATGATGTGTCTTTGGAAGGCGTAAACTTGTTGAGTTGCTTTTTCGTTTGATGTGTATTTTATAGCGGTAAGTTTAATAGTATAACAATTATAAAGCATTAAAAATGGGTCCATCATTTAGAATAACCCTTTATATTAGATAAGATTTTTAATTCTCTTGTCTATGATAAGATGCTTCAGTCTTTTCAAAGTGAAAATTATCGTTCGGTAATGTAGGTTTGTTCTTTTTAACGAACGCAGACGACCTTGAATTGATTATCTCCAATTCATGTTATTTGACGGCTCTGTGACCCATAGAATTCAGATTTCAGAAATATGTTTGTCTGCAAACATTTTGTTTATTCACATGAAATTAAGAAGTAAATATTATTATGATTAGATTTTTGGCAACGTCGACAGTTTAATGCCAAGAATATCACACAACATGTCTTTGTAAATTTAACTCAAACTAATTATAACTATTATACTGATACTCTCATTCACTGTCGTTGGTGTTTTTGATGCTGTAAATATTAACTACGGTATGTATTTCCGTGCAGTTTAACTTAACACATCATGATACGGTTTTTGTTTATGATTGTAATCAGTGTTAAATGCAAAGTGTCATTTTAATAATTTTATATACACGCTCTTTATTTTTAATTTTCTAAAAATCTTGCATAAAATACCTATTTAAAGGGTTTAAAAGCTTATTATTTTGCAAAACGTAATTGTTAGATTACTTAGAAAAAAATTATAGTAGGCCTACTCTAAAATACATGACTTGGATAATCTAATTTACACAATGAATTCTTTGGAAACGTGTGTTTGTGGACAAGTCGTAACAAAGCAGATTAGATATTAGAACACTGCGATATCCACGTGTTGTCCACGGATAGTTGGTAGACCTGTTCAAGTCATCCTTTGTGCCAATAACTGCCTCTGATTGGCCGGTTAGTCTTGGACAAGTTCTTCAAGCTTGATCCTTCCTTTGCTCTTGTAGTCTGTGGCGAGTCTTCACAAGCAAAGGTCTTAGGCTACTTCAGTGCGCAAGATTATTACCAATTTTGGATATATTTCCCCAAATAGATTGTAAGTATACTTAGCTCATATTTTACCAAATAAAAGAAATAACGAATCAGCATAAAGTTTTAAAACTACAAATTAATTGTGTATCGTCGTTTTTCGCTGTTTGAAAAGTTTTAAAATTGCACTTTGGTTCAAGCGAATTATTGATTGCAGTTTGTTAATTGGTTTTCGAAAACTATTTTACAGTTAGCTCAACTAATTGTTGTTCAATAATTAAGTTAATTAGGAACAAATGTAATATGAAACACGTGTTCACTCACCCACGTACATGTTCTGTCTTGATCGTACTGATCAAGAATCAAAAGTTAATATCTTCCTTTCGGTGAACTTACTTTTTGCAGGGAGGGACAAAAGTGGCTAACAAATTTTTCCACCACGATAGTTAAATCAAATTAGATTGATATTATGTTGATAAAAAGTAGAGAAAGGTATAACAACTGAATATGTTGTACACCTTTTGATTTTTCGTCATACTGCAGCAAAAACAGCCGTTTTAATGCATGCGTTGCGGGTCTAAAGTACCGTAGCATTTTTACTCTCTAGGGAGTAAAAATCGGCTGTTGTAAACAGTGGTTAAATTTCGATTGTGGCAATCGTATTAATCGAAAATATTTATCGATTGATTTATTAGGTAGGGCTTTAGACTATTGTTGTCGATTGCTTGACATAGTTCTGTTTGTTAATTAATGATGCAATATGACGAAAAATATAGTTCACCACACGGGCAAAAGACTTTTTATTTTCGTAAAAATCTTCGTGTTGAGTGGATTTATATTTGTTTTGTGTCCCCCTGAACTAAAAAAAAATGGTTTTTGAAGTGATGTCTTGTCTGTGTACGAAGCTACGGACCACACCTGTTGCCCGATTTTAATGAAATTTGGTATGTAGGTACTAACCCATGGTATTTCCAGGTGTTTTTATCTTTTTCGAAATTTTGATTTTTAATGAGGATTTTCCCATAAAACCATAAAATAACGGAAAAATAAAACTTTATCAAAAATGGCACAGGCGGTTTTCATAAAAATTTAGTACGTTATAGTCCTTTGAATTCTGAACAAAATGGTACAACTCACATTGCTGCAAAAATTATTACGGTTCAAACGTTATTGTTTGTAACTTATGTCATTTTCCCATAATAACCCCCACATGTACCCTCACATGTTCCATGTGTGTGTGTGGGTTTTATAAACCCACATAAAATAACGGAAAAATCAGATTTTTCAAAAGGAGCCGGTGTTGATTAAAATTAGTATTTTTATGGTCCTTATAATTCTTAACCAAATAGTGCAACCACCTATTGCTGTAAAAAAGGTTCAAAAGTTAATTGCACCTTTTGTGATTTCTCATATAAATATCATAGTTACTCCCACTGCATACCCATGATAAAGATTGCTGTTGACAAGCTAAATGGAGAAAATATAATTCAGCTTACTAATACTTTATTTTACAAAAAAGTTACTTTGTTTGATTTTTCATATCTTATAAAAAGTAGAACTTGTCTAAGCATAATAGCTATTTGACTATGATAATAGGTACTTCTTTGTACCTAGGAAAAACCTATACCCCGGTCTTCTTCCTCCTATTGAGGTGCATACTATTAAATTGAAGCTTGTAAAAACTAGTACAGTATGTGCCTATAGATTGCTCAATGTTGATTTCAACAAATTATTAACATTTTTAAATGAATACTCGTTATCCATTAATTTTCACTAAACAGAGGGTGGTTATCAAACACAGTACAGTAATCCAGAAGTTTATAAATTTTATTTGATAAATTATTGGCTTTACTCTTCCAAAATAATGGGTTGCTTTAAAGTAATGGTATTTATCCTTTGTGAGAGTGAATAAGTTCTTAAGATTTTATTTATATTTATAGTAGGTAAATGGTCAAAGTAGAGCCTGATTAAGTAGAAGTAGCTGTTAGCGTTTGTAGTGATAGTCTGGCACAGTTTTACCTTATGTTTAGATTACGTTAATATTTTTGTTTACAGATATATAAATGCTCAAAGTAGAGCCTTATTATGTGGAAGTGGCTGTTTGCATCCCTAGTTGTGTCTCAGTACGCAAACACATTCACCTCAGCGGCTTTTGAAAGTGAGTAACTTATAGTTATATTTTAATGTAGGGTTGTTTAATATTTGGTCCTGTTAAGAAGTTAACATTATATTACATTTTAAACTCACAACAATGTAATTTAAAAACAAAGTTTATTTCACCTATATTACAATCTATAATAAAACATTGAAAGTGGTGTAAACATGTTCTTACCATTTACACATCCTACTAATCCTATCCTACTAATATTATAAATGAGAAAGTTTGGATGTATGGATGTATGGATGTATGGATGTATGTTTGTGACAAGTGAACGCGAAAAATACTGGTCGGATTGGGCTGAAATTTGGCATGATGATAGCTCACATTCCCGATTAACATATAGGCATATTCTTATTTCAAAAATCCTTTCGGGTTCCGCCCCAGTGGCTCTGGAGTTTCCCATGAACCTTATGAGAAATGGAATTATTGAATCTTAACAGCTGTTTCAATTAAACAAGTTGGTTCTGTTCTATAATGTTATATAGCATTAAAGTTACAAGGATTACCAACAGGGTGCAGCACTATTATTTCTTTTACATTTATGACAACAGCTAATTTGCAACCAAAAGGTGAGTGAGCGTAGCGAACGAACTTCAACCTGGAGGCGAGTTAGCGTAGCGAACAAGCTAACCTGAAGGCAAGTGAGCGCAGCGAACGAGCTCCAACCTAAAGGTGAGTGAGCGTAGCGAACGAGCTCCAACCTAGAGGTGAGTGAGCGTAGCGAACAAACTTCAACCAGGACGTGATTGAGCCATGCGAACGAGATAATCTTGAAAATAAAGAAGTTAAACGGGGCAAAGCCCGCGGGTTACAGCTAGTTTCTTATATGCATCACCAGATAAAACCTTACTGAAGATGCCAGTCCTTAATGTTTGCTTTGTTAAAAGTTAGTTTGGGCATATTTATGCCTTTGGCATTTTTAACGTTTTTGTGAGGGATATGGGGAACGGTCTAAGCTCTACTGGTTTTGTTACTATCTAATAATGATTTTTCATGGATAGAATCACTAATTTATAGCCTGACTAGCTGTTGTACCCGTGCTTTGCAACGGGAAGAGGACACAAAATAGAAACATTTTAATCTTTATCTCTTGCATATAATAGTTACACATCCGCCAACGCTTTTAGAAACAAAATTCAACTTTTATGGCCTTAATAGAAACGTTTTAAGTTATTACTTTTAAATCTGGTAAGTAGTGGATACCACCATTTTGGTTTTGATTAATTTTAAATCTTGTGTAGGCTGATATGAGAAAAACTGACCAAATCTTCGAGTAAAACTTTGACATACATGATTTACCAGATTTACCTTCATCTCCCTTAATTACACATCTTTTAATTTATTATTGACATTTTAAATTTCAATTTTGGGCCTGGAAACGATCTTGCTTGGAATCAAACCAGCGACCTCGGAATTTTAAGGGGAGCAATATATATATAACCATTCGGCTACCTAGACAATTATGATAATGACACAATATTTTTTCATCAAAAGAGCTTCATTTTACTTTTACTTTCAACAATCCAAGATACAAAACAGAGCAATTATTGATTTTATATCTTGTTTGTTAAATTTAAACAAACATCTTATATGTCGAGTCAGGTTTGACTCTAAATTAAAATATTTCCTCAAAATAATTGTAATCAAATTAATTTTGTGTAAATTCTATATTGTTAACTGATTTTGTTTTGTTTATTATTCACATTTTATAAATAAACGTACCGTGTGAAATACCCTAATGTTATATTTGTAAAGTTTTTCAAACTGACACCGAACAGCTAGTGTACATCAAGCAGAATAAACCAATTACGCAGTCAATGTGCAACTGTAAGAATAGCTTGTGAATTCCAGTGCTCAAATTTTTACTGTGGGTGGTCAGTTTTGCAATAATAAACTTGTAACTTGATTCTCGCCAAGAAAACATTTTGAGCTTTAAACATGTATTTGCTTGCTTCAAAACGCAATTCTAGAGTTATATAAATGCACAATTTTTGCAGAGTTCAAAGGCAGTGTGGGATGTCCTCCTATGCAGTTCCTGTGTATGGACGGAGAGTGTATCTCCGAGGAAAAACATTGCAACGGACACCCGGATTGTATCGACGGAACTGATGAACACAACTGCGGTTTGTATCCAGATCCACTATTCACTAAAATAATTAAACCATCTTACTTAGTCAAAACATGTTACCAACAAAGTAGCTCCTAGTCTTAAATTCATTCTGTGGTAATATGCTCCATCTTCATCCCATAAACTCATATTATACAGTGTGTAAATTAAGTATTGAAACAAATATGTATTTTTAATACCCCCGCCGCAGCAAACCTGCAGACTTAGCGAATTTCCATCTGCCTGATTAGATTTAAACTAAATTGTCTCCTTAAAAATATCACATTTATTCCCTATTTAAACAGAATTAGTTTAATGAGTACTTAGGTTTGCTGCAACAGGGAGGGTAAAAAAGTTTTTTTTTAATGTAAAATATTAAAAGGTACTATGGTTTAGTAAGAAATTAATGTATTTCAAATTTTATCAAAATATGTTCATAAACAAGCAAACTACAACAGTTGACTTATTCTCCATAAGAATAACATGGGAATTTTAAAATTACAATTTTTTTGAATTTTCTCCGTAACAATTAGGCGCATAATAACGCTTCAACATACTAAATTATTTGTTTTTTTAAGCTCTACAAAATGGTTTAAAAAGAAATTGTGAAATTTTGTGTTTTTAGGGTCAAAAATGGGAAAAACCTATTTTTACCCCATAAAACCCCCCATAAACCCCCGTTCCCATAGTCCGATCATGCTGGTTCGCAAACTCATTCAAGTTTATCCTGCCTTACACCTTCAAACCAAATTTTATCAAAATCGGACAAAAATTACTCAAGTTATCGTGCGGATGGACATATATATATATATATATATATAGATATATAAAAATTTGAACGAATGGTGTTTTTGGCCTCTGGTGACATCAAAATTAAAAAGTAAATCGGTCCCGGGCTTAGGTCTTACCATGAGACCTACGGTAATAGCTACTTCCCTATAGGGAAATTCGCTAAAACCGAAATAGATAGAAAAAAACTTTTTGTTTGTGGCGTTGATTGTTAACAAAGGTTCCGTTATTTTTTACATCAAAAATATTTGTTAACCCCCCTAACAGGGTAAGGCAAGGCCACACTAAAAAAACAGGCCGTAATGCTCGCCAAGCATGACGTCACGATAGAAAACGGCTATGACGTATAAGTACTTATTTATTTATTTTCCAATGAAAGATTAAAACAAGCAGCTGATCGCAAACGGCAAAATTACGTGATTGCCGTCTTCTATCGTGACGTCATGCTGGACGAGCATTACGGCCTGTTTTTTTAGTGTGGCCTTGGGTAAGGGGTAGAGGGTGACTTATTTTTTCAAATAGCAACCCCTATTGAGTGACCCCTCATTTTGAAGGATATGTCAAAAGAAACACAATGACGCAAACCCGAGGTGGAAATCTCACCCCTAGCCAAAATGGCAGGTATTCCAAAATTTGATTTACTGTATGTAAAAAAGCACCAATTTCACAAATATGGAAACAAATCTATATTTTTAGAAGCGAAATATATTTTGTGGAATTGATTGCTAACATAGGTTCCGCAATTTTTTACATCAACAATATCTTTTAACCCCTTTAACAGGGTAGGGAGTGGGGGTGATTTATTTTTTTAATAACAACCCCTATTGAGTGACCCCTCATTTTGAAGGGTTTGTCAAAAGAAATACAATGACACAAACCCAAGGTAGATATTTCATCCCCAGCCTAAATGGTGGGTATTCCAAAATTTGATTTATGCGAAGAAGTAAGTAAGTGATTTATGTGAAAAAGCACACATTTTGGAATACCTGCCATTTTGGCTAGGAGTGAGATATTCACCTTGGGTTTGCATCATTGTGTTTCTTTTGACAAGCCCTTCAAAATGAGGGGTCGCTCAATAGGGGTTGCTATTTTAAAAAATAAGTCACCCCCTACCCCCTACCCTGTTAGAAGGGTTCAAAAAATTTTTTAGTGTAAAAAATTGCAGAACCTTTGTTAAGAATCAATGCTACAAATAGAATATTTCTATCTATTTCGGTTTTAAAATACAAAATAATTATTGGACCTAGTATTTTTTGGTCTCATATCATCAATAAAAAAGTTGTCAGGTAAATTCTGAGAAAAATCAGTAGTTTTTTTTCTATAGTTCAAACTTGAATTCCAGCTGTTTTTGCTTTTAATAAATGGTCCAGCTGAATAAACAGCTGACATTTATTCAGTGAAAAAGCTGCAAACATAACCCCACTCCATTCTACACTCATCTACATCTTGCATCATTTATTCAGTTTTATATACACACCTAGGCTGTGGCTCAAAAGTAATGGTAATGTTATTTGTTTTAGACGTAATAAGGTGTCTTGCGCCAATGTACTTTGAGTGTGATAACAACCGATGCGTCAGTTCTTCGTTCGTCTGCGATGATGACAACGATTGTGAAGACTGGTCCGATGAAAAAAATTGCAGCGATCACAGTGTAAGTGCATTGACCTTTGATATAATATTTTACTTGAAGAATTTGCAACTTTTCCCAGGTTGTTGATTTTAATTGAGTAAAATATTGCCAGAGTCTTTAAATTTACTTGTACAGATTCCCTGGAAATTAAACCGCTCTGTCTTACACTGAAGTCCTTTGGGAATATCATCTTTGTATATTTGAGATGAATAAAATGTAACTGAGCTGTATTACTACAACTATTTTACATATTTAAAAAGTACCAAGTACACTTCACTCATCTTCATGAATTATATGAATATTTATGTATTCTGTATTGTCCTGTATTGCACAAAAAATAAGTGTTACGTTGTGTAACCTTTTTTGATAATCTATAAGATCAATGATTTTAATTTTCTCAGGTAAGCTAGCAAAACATTACCCTTTTTCCTGAAACATCCTACACCAGTCATATGTCTTTTTCTAAACATATATTTTACCAGTGTAAATCTTTTCCCAAGTATTACATCGTGAAATCTCTGTTCTATTGCAGGCAGGAGAGAGAGTTGTAAGCACTTGCAGTCCTAGAGAGTTCCAGTGTTTAGATAGGCTGTGCATTCCTCAGAATTGGGTTTGCGATGGGAAGGCTGACTGTCTGGACTCCAGTGACGAAACCCTCGGCTGCAGCAAAAATGTAAATTATGTATTTATATCTTGGTTGTATATGATATGCAAATAGAAGGTTTCCGAAAAAGAATGCGGGGATTTTGAACGTATGTTGTTTGAGGCTTATTGAAGATAATTAAATTATTAAAACGTATAATTTAAGATAAAGATAAAATGCAATCTAATTTCTAATCTATACTATTATAAAAAAGAGGTGGTGTCTGTGTGTGTGTATGGGAAAAGTAAACGCGAAAACTACTGGTCGGATCGGGCTGAAATTTGGCATGATGATAGCTCACATTCCCGATTAACATATAGGCATATTTTTATCCCAAAAATCCTTTCGGGCTCCGCCCCAGTGGCTCTGGAGTTTCCCATGTTAACCTTATGAGAAATGAAATTATTGAATCTTAACAGCTGTTTCAATTAAACAAGTTGGTTCTGTTCTGTGATGTTCAATAGCATTAAAGTTACAAGGATTACCAACAGGGTGCAGCACTAGCACTATTATTTCTTTTACATTTATGACAACAGCTAATTTGCAACCAAAAGGTGAGTGAGCGTAGCGAACGAACTTCAACCTGGAGGCGAGTGAGCGTAGCGAACGAGCTAACCTGAAGGCAAGTGAGCGTAGCGAACGAGCTAACCTGAAGGAAAGTGAGCGCAGCGAACGAGCTCCAACCTAAAGGTGAGTGAGCGTAGCGAACAAACTTCAAAAAGAACCGAAATTTCTTAAACCATGTCCTCACTCATAACTGCTATAAGCATTTAATACTTATATGCCAACCCCGTACGAAGGACACTCTGCTAGTTTAAGATAAAATACAAACTTTGATACTCTTGTATGAGCATAAAACTGGCAAAATCTGTACGCTTAGGGCAATCAGCGGGTTTAATATGATGTCTTGACTGAATTCTGTAAGCACAAAGTCACAATTTTACAAACATCGTGGAGTGTCAATTTAGATATGTTTAACTGAAGACTTGGTCAGGGAATCGGATATTTCAGGCTTCTGATAGATTGTCGGATTTCTTCTACTTTGTCATCACTTGTTTTGGGCCAGCCAGGTGAATGTCCTTTCAAAACACTTCTCCTGGACGAAACTGATTAAACAAGCAACAAATTGCTTTATTATTGGGTGAATTTGAATGTAGTTTAATTTAACAATGGAATCAAACCCTATGAACCACAGATCAGACTGTGCCTTCTGTTGTGCTATAAACATCAGATATGCGTCAGGCACGTGAGTCACATTGGCGGCCTGCCACCACACACCTGTTTTGTGCAAGCTAAGGTCAAAATTTCCTTCCTTGCTACATGGAAATAGGTCCAAATTGAAGTTTAAATCGTTCAGTTATCTTGAATAGTTTTCAAGCAAAGACCGTTTAATTTATCGGACACCCTGTACAGACAGATGTGAGTTGATTGAATAATTTGTCGGGATAACACCTCTTCTTCTTTTAACTTTCGAGGACTAGTGTTTGGACTAGTTTTTTTTTTTTTTTTTTTTATCATTTGAAACCCACTATATAGCATCCAATAAGTAAAAGTAACCAATTATTGCAGTTGATGTTGTAATTGGAAATTAAAAATATTTACTGTAAAATTAAAGTTGCATTGAGCACTTATCCCTCAAGAAACTCATCGCACATTATGCTCTGAACACAAATTCACAAAATTTTTTCTACTATTTTCAGATTACATGTGATGGTTTCAAGTGCAAGAATCACTTTTGCATCCCTCAAGAATTTTACTGCGATGGTGGAAATGATTGCGGTGACAATTCCGATGAAGAAAACTGCCGTAAGTGGGATGTATTCTAATTACACTTTGACAATTCTTTTTTATTTCAAAATTTCGAATATTTTAAAATTAATTTGAAATTTGAAGTATGAATTTCTGGAGAAAACAGCAAAGATTGAAAGTCTGAGAACATATTCATGTTAATGTTTGATTTGAGGTACTTTCTGTTAAACAATTTTTTGAGCTAGGGTAAATATTTTTCAGCTACACAACAGGTAAATAACCTGTACTGTGAGTGAAACTCTTGCTATGCAGACTATTAAACAAACCCTAGCTCCGTTGAAAGACTTAACCTGGAATCGTTTGTCACTGTACTTCAGGTTTAGTCAAAATGTGACCTAAGCCCTCAGGGCTTGTTTACCTCGTATGGTAGACCTTGGTTGCAACCCAATTCACATTAATATTTTTAGTGCGAAGAATACTTTTAGTCAAACCGTGACAAATAAAGGTACATTTTGTCCTCATGTTCCATCATTATCAAGATAACCATATTAACCAACATCATGTTTGGTTGTTCACAGCGCAAAGAGAAATCACGATGGAGGAGTGTTCGCTAGACAAGCGGTTGTTCTACTGCCACGACGGAGTGTTGTGTCTCGAGTTGTTTCAACTTTGCAACGGCAAAGAAGAATGCCTGGATGGATCCGATGAGGGCGGCCGCTGCAATGAAACTGGTAAACTAATTTTGTATCTACTATTCAAACATAAGAGTTGACCTGAAAGTAATACATGATTCAACATATAAGTGTTTGAAAATATATTTGAAGTATGTTTTACTACATACATTTGGAGGGGAAGGCAAAGTTTTTATGCTATAATAATGTTCATAAAGTGAAAACTTAAAATGAGAATTCCAAGTAGAGATTCAAGCTTTTGGGTACGCTTCATATCCATTGCAAACTTAATGGCCATTTGCAATTCTAACCACTGGTCGTAAATTATGGTTACCAAAATTTGTAATAACCACTCTTTGGAGAACAACTTTACAAGATTCTCACCATTATGAAAAATTCAAGATGTTCACAAAATGATGTAGCTGACTTTTACCGCAATCAGTCACTTGCATAGTCTTGAGACAAGAACAAAAGGGTGAAATACCCCAGCTGGATACACAATTAGTGCAGAAACACTAAATGTAAAAATTACAACTAGGCTATAATAGTATTGTGCCACTAGAACAAAACCTTTTTTTCTCAAATGGAATGGTTGTTTAATATAAGCAGACATAAGTTTTAACTTAAAGAAGGAACAAACTAGCAAATTATACTGAGACCACCATATTTTTATCAATAAAGCTTATTTTTTCGTCAATTGCATATCTTTTTCAACAGTTCATGAATAGATTACTTTATTTTTCAAATCGTTGCATACAAATTGTGAAGCTTTTTGAATATAATAAATTGTAGGATATAAACTGTAGACTAGATAAAATAATAAATTACATTTACATTCTTGCCATTGTCACAACATAAATGCCACTAAAGGATTCACTTCAATGACAATTAAAACTAAGAAAGAACTTAGCAATACCTGATAAAATATTGTTGTTTGATAAACTATTGTGTGATTTGTGTTATCTGTATCTTCCAGGCATGTGTTCCAACTCCAGTTGTCCTCACGACTGTTACCCCTCACCCAACGGACCTCTCTGTGCATGTCCTAAGGGAACGTTCAATGATGGACACACTTGCCAAGGTTAGAACAGAACTACATTAATTATTGTGTAGTCTTTGCTTTATAAACTATACAGCCATCAATAGAAGCTACTATAGTACCGTATACAATAAATGGCGATGTTGAATTTAATGATATTGGAATCATAATTTAATCGTAAAGGATCTTTTTGTTTTTTGAACGTTGGTGGACCAGGAATTCAACTTTTAAACAGAAAAAATGCTCATTTAATGACTTTTTAAAGTAGGTAGGTATATATTTAATTTAAAACATTACTAGACATTGACAAGTGGTTAAGATTTGTTTAAGTTATGGAATTTCTAGTGTAGAAAAAAATTGTTTATGATAGATATTTATCACGATTTAAAATTAATCAATGATCTAAAATAGTGTACAAAATAGAGGGACTGCGTATCAGAAAAGTCTAGTGTTTCAAATTGCAGTTATTGCACACAAGTCCATGTTTACTTATTATTTTTCATTCCTACGTTAAATATGTACCAGTAATGATTGTTTCACAGATGTAAACGAGTGTGAGCAGTTTGGAATTTGTGATCACAAGTGTAAAAACTTCAAGGGAGGATACCAGTGCTACTGTGATCCCGGCTATCAACTGCAACCAGACAAGAGGACCTGCAAAGCTGAAGGTTAACAAATAACGTACTTCTCTTTGTTCTTTGATTTAATTAATTGAATTGCTCCGCCGAATAAAAGCTCCGCATGTGTGACAAAAGTAAATATTTTGAGAAAAAACACACAATCGTTCTGGCCAATGCCAAGACAGCCAGATTCCTGCAAATTCAATTACTTGTAAGCACTACCAACCTATGTATTTTTAAGAAAAAAATGTCCCACGTAGTAGAGAATATTTTGTAACTTTTTATCTTAATAAACAATGCCGTAATATGCTTCAACAATTAACATTACCGTTATATGGGGTGAAAATCTAAGATGGCCGGTGGTCCTGCCGACTCTTAATGAATTGTGCTGTCTCAAAAACCAGCTGATCGTAGTCAGTTACAACACTGTCATCTTATTTAATTCAAAATTTTACTGAACTGTAAACTGTTAATTACCTTTGTTCTGTGCTGCTGTCATAATGGTCAATTCTATCTATGCTATCCAGAACACAGGTAATTTCAAAAGCCTTTCCTCTAAATTCCAACCATGCAGAGGCTAATCCATCGTGACAAATTATTTCAGGACCGGAAGGCCTGTTGCTGTTCTCGTCGCACAAACAGATCCGAGCGTACTTCCTGACATCGGAGGTGTACTACCCAGTGGCCAAGGACCTGTCGCAGGTGACTGGGGTGGCGTACGACGGAGAACATGTCTACTGGACCAACGTCTACCAGGGTGAGGAGGCAATCATGAGGGCAGTGGAGGACGGCAGTCAGAAGGAGGTCGTCATAACAGCAGGTCAGCAAGAGTAGATTAATTAATTAACACAAATATTTAAAAAATTCATTCATCTATAGAGGAAATTTTATAGTTGTGACTAGTCACATAACATAGTGCCACAGACATAACCAGCAATGGTGGAATGTCAAAAAAACTTGTTTTGTTAGAAAGAAAAGACAAGATCTTAATGTTACTATTTGAAGAAGGACCTTCTTCTCTAACGTCAGAAAACAATTATGGGATTGCCTTGATGAATAATTGTGATACTTAAAAACCCTGTCACATTCTGGTACACTGTAAAATACTTACGGAGTACCTACGAAGCAACTTTGAGAATCATAAATTTTCTGAGTTTTATAATATTTGTTGTTTGTATAACTCCAACTTATACAACTCCAAGTGTTGTTGTATGACTTATAATATTAGTTGAAGTGGTTTCTGATTAGTTCACCAAGTTCCTAGTAGTAGACAAGCCCTCTTTGCTTGTAGGTCTCGGTACTCCAGAAGATCTTGCGCTGGACTGGGTGACTAAGAACATATACTTCACAGACTCCAAGTTCCAACACTTAGGCGTCTGTTCCAACGAGGGAACAACGTGTACAGTCCTTCACAACCGCGACATCGACAAACCTCGTGGCATCTGTCTGTCACCGCTCCAAGGGTCAGTTCAGCTCCTAAATCCATGCATGAAGAATTTAATCCAACTAATCAATTTTTAGTTTTAATAATCCATCATGATAAATTTTGTTAATTTTCCATTTGGCTACCCAATTATAGTTTTTTTACTTTCCATTATTTGAGAACCTATCTGAGTAAACGTTTTTGTACTTGGTAGACAAGTTTGAAAATGTATGAAACAGATAAAAAATATACATTTACTTCATTAACTTAATATAGTATTTTTGGGCAGCTGGGTAGTTTTAGTTCTCGCCCAAAAATGTGAGGGCCTTAGTTTGATCCTACAAAACGTCAGTAGATTTTATTGGCTCTAATCTGAACCCTGCTTTCCATGATCATTGGACGTTTAGTCATCATCATCGAACCTTTAAATGATCATCGGTACTAGCTGAAGAAAGAGATTTTTCAAGCAAAAAAGTAACGTGGGGGTCTTGCTCATCTTTTCATGAGTTAAAACATACCCAAGATGCATCCCCATTCCATAATGGTAATAACCTATAATGATATAATTTTTGGAAAGTTTTAATTCCTCCACATGGGGGGATGCAAAATCACATTCTCGATCTTTATACTGTATTTATTTGTGTTGCTTCAGGCACAGTGCTTGTTCTAAATATTCCTGTATTATGTCCCAGCCTGATGTACTGGTCAGACTGGGGTAACCGGCCATTAATTGCTCGCTCTGGCATGGACGGTTCAGAGGTCTTTGACTTTGTCACCAAAGACCTCCACTGGCCAAACGGCCTCACCATCGACCACGGCAACGAGCGCCTCTATTGGGTGGACGCCAAGCTTCTAGTCATTGAATCCATTAAGCTTGACGGAACTGATAGAAGGGTGAGCTTTGAAGTATAGTACAGAATGAACTTATAGTTTGACAAGAGTTGTTCAAAGCTAATTTAAATTGTAAAGTGTAGTTGGCAAACTGTACTTAGTAATCCAGGGGTTGTTGCACATCATTGGTAAATTTGATATTTTGATGTTTTCCAGTGATCATAGATGTACAAACCATAGACAGACCATAAACCAGAGATGTATGGACATAGGACCATAGTTTGTTAATCATTTAGTTATAAGAGTAAAAATGTAAACTATCACTGCATGTGTATTTTGTCACACTTGGGTGTTATATTTAATCAGAAGCCTGACTTAACTTGACTTTTTAAAAGCCAAAAAAGCCTTAAAATTCAAATTATACCTTTTGCTTAGGAGTGTTAATATTGTTTTTTTCTGACTTCAAAGAAAGCTCTTTTCTTTTTAGCTTTTCGGAAATGTGAAATGTGTTATGACAATAAAGTTATATTATTATTATTAATTGTTGTTTTGTGGGAAGCCATTAAATACCCGTACAAAGTGGCTGTATTTGGCAAGTTGGAGGCTCAGCCCACAGTGCCATGGACTTGGGCCCAAGGCAGCGATGTGGGTTTGGATCCTGGAACTTGCCACTAACAGGGTCACCCCTTGCTTTGCTTGTTATGTTCCTCATTAGAAAAACCTCTTTAGACAAAATCTACTTTGCTGATCTTGTCTTGTAGGTGGTTTTGTCGGAGGCTATCAAGCACCCGTACGCAGTGGCTGTGTTTGAGAGCAACATCTACTGGAGTGACTGGACTGGTCAGGAGATACTCAGATGTAACAAGTTCACTGGCAAGGACAGACACACTGTGATACGAGAGAAAAACAACCGCATCTTCGGCGTTCACATATATCACCCAGCTATGATGAACACTACTGTAAGTAGACCTTTTAAGTTTACTACACAATTCCCATAAGTCCATAAATAAGCCTATAGCTATAAGCACAAAAAAAAAAGGAAATTACATTCCTGGGCACTCTAAATAAATTATTTTTGGGTGTTGCTAAGATTATCCTTATGGTTGTCTGATCAAAGTGTTTGTGCCTGTTATACTTCAAATGGACACAACAATTATAGGAGGTCATAAGAAAAAGCGTTGTTCGTGATTTCATACTTGTTAAGAATTTGTTGAGAAGGAATACAGTTCAGCTAGCTTACCCAAGAAAATTAAAGTCCAGGGCTAATAGATACACAATAAAAGAACACAAAACATAACATTGATATTTAGTTCTGATCTAAAAATTCTGCAGAAAGTAGATTGAAGAGACAATTTTGTGTATCCATGGACCCTGGACTTTTTCTCGGGTAAGCTAGCTGAACTGTACTCCTTTTCAACTAATTCTTTACAAATATGAGATCAATATAAAACAATAATCATTTTGATCCACATGTACTATATGTAACAGAAATTGCTCCATTTAAAGAATTCATGGCACCAGAACTAAAACTTATTTGGAGATATAAGGTCCCTCTTCTCAATCATACATCATCCTTCTCATCCCCTCCTCCTCATGGTCAGTTGTGCCATACTTACTGGAGTGGCCACTGGTACCTTAAGAGGCACTTGGCCTCGCCCACATACTACCTCCAGGTGTCTCTTTCTTGAGCTTCATTTACACTTCTTCCCAATCTTCTAATATCTTTGATCCCTCCATCTTAGCTTAGGCCATCCTGGTGGTCTTCTGCCTTCGGGGTTTCTATCAAGTATGTTCTTCAATACCGAGTTTTGCTGTCTTCTCATAGTATGCCCAAACCATCTCAACCGTCTTGACTTCTGCTACGATGTCTGGGTCTTTGTAGCGCTCTCTAATCTCGGTGTTATGTCTTTTCCTCCATACTCCATCCTTGAGCGTCGGGCCAAATATCTTTCTAAGGACTTTGTTTTCAAATGTTATTATTTTCTGTTCTGTCTTTTTGTTCATTACTTTTTGTTTATGGTATAACCGGTCTTAATATTGTTTTGTAAATACATAATTTGGTGTTGTGGGATAGTAATTTTGAGCTTAACAATTTAAGCATAACAGGTGTGCTATAGCACAATAAAAAGTAATACATAAGAGGCAAAACCAGTATTTGATTGAATGATTATGTAGTTTAAATTTACAAAAAATATTCCATTTAGTGATAGGTCCAAGAACTCTGACCCACTGGGTTTCCACTTAGATTAAGTATTGCAATTAAATTGTGTAATCTAGATCTAAACCATTTCCACCTTATCTACACCATGAACTATTTTACTATTGCCAAATCCCATGAATTGTCTCAGTAGGTAATAAAAGTGTGATTTGTATGTTCCAGGTACGCAACCCGTGCATAGACGCAGGCTGTAGTGACTTGTGTCTGCTGGCGCCCAAGTCCCAGCGCCGCGGCTACACCTGCCATTGTCCCCAAAACAAGCTGTTGGCGCCCAACAATCACGCCTGCGAGCAAGTACTCAAGAGCCTGTCCCTGGTGGTAGGTGCCGGCAACACTCTCATGGAAGTGGAACATCAACACCTGGGTCGACTATCGGCAACGCCCCTTCCCCTCCGCGATGTCTACAAGATCGGGGCCATTGCCTACAACGCCTTCAATGGTAAATTTAATAATCAAATCATAAAATTTATGCAGCCGTTAAATACAAACAGGCAATAGGCTAAAAGTAGGGTTAGGGATATGGTCATAATGACAAAAAAGGATGGATTTTAGGAGGAACACATTTGTTTTCATAGAAACTTAACTCAAGCAAAAGAAAAAAAAACTAACTACAAAATTTACTACAAACTAACTAAACACTTTAAAATCATTCTACAAGTTTAGACACCTTTATACGGAACAGTACCTACTGTATTTTATTGCTGTTAAGTATTTAATAAATATTATTCACCAAACTACGACAGGCTTGAAACTGTATCAAGCTTTTCTTCATGTAATGCTGATGAACCAGCTTATCTATCATTCAGGAAAAACACTATGATATTAAACACTCATCCTTCAATCATTATTGCCTTAAAATTGTAATTTGATTAATTCAAAGTAGTATGAATCTAACCTAATGACTTAACACTATAATTGTCTTTCCTCAGGCTACAAACAAATACCTTGATCATTTGCAGTTCCAAACTGTTCATTTGGTGTTGCATATGTTTCTGATTATACAACATTATCAAACGCCTTTTTTCAGGAAATTGGCGATAGTCTTATCCTACAAATCATGGCCTGATTCTTTTTAGCGAAACTGACCAAAATTTAAATTTTAACAAATGGTTTTTCACTGTTGCTCAGGTCACATCGTCATCTTTGACTCGGCAGACAAGAAGATTGTCTCTCTGGACCGTATGTCAGGTGAAACTACGGTGCTGCTGTCTAGTGACCTGGGCAAGGTGGAGGGGATGGACGTTGACCCGTATGGTCACAACCTCTATTGGGCCGACTCCGAGAGACAGACTGTTGAAGTGTTCTCTCTTAACACGCATGAACGCAAGGTGTTACTGAGGGACCTCGGCGGAGAAAGTCCTGTGGGCATCACACTGGTGCCTGATCAAGGGTAAGTCTACTGAATATAATAGATCCTTTAGATTCTTCTACGGAGACTTCTTCAGGTTCGGATCCGTTTGGTTTTGACTCCAGACATTTGGGACGGATCCATGATATACTCTTTGGGCAGGGAACATTGTCTCAACTAGAATCTTGAGTTTCAATGAAACACTTTTTCCAGGGACGACTGGAAGTTTCAAGTTCTTTGTTCTCGGTTTCAAACTCAAGTCTGTTTCTGTGACGTTTTTGGCATAATCAATAAATTCGTGGCTAATGTTATTGACAACATCATTTGCTAAATGATGATGTATTTCCCTCTCATGATGTGTGCCCCTCCCAAAATGTATTTCAGAAACATTTCATGAACAAGAGGCTAAGGGCCTACATTTCAGGCTTCGAGTGTAAAAAAAAATAGGTACACAAATCTGTATCAAGATAATTAAAAGTAGCAGTTATCAAATGAAATGTTTGTACGGATAAGATTTTTACTGGCTAAGTTATTTTCATATTTTTTAATTGTTTTATAATATTTCAATTTTAAACTCAGATAAAATGTCCCTGTTGTTTGTCGTAGGTTCATGTTCGTGGCACTCATGGGTCCCAAGGTCGTGCACATTGACAGGTTCAGTATGGACGGAGAGCAGAAGACCCATGTACACATCGCAGAGAACAACGTGCTCGGACCGAATGTGGCCCTCACCTACGACAAGGGCTTGAACTACGTCTTCTGGTCGGACTCAGGGACCGGACACATTGAGGCTGTGGACGTCGAAGGTATGAGTTTTAGGAGTAAATGTGACAAATTTTATTGTTTTCATCTAGCTTGATCATTTTCCATTTTCTAGCTATCCTGATCATGCTTTGATGTGGTATATGTCTACAAACGTTACAGTAGGTCTATAACAAATTAAATTTGTTTGATTGAATTAAGTTAATGTATTTTTTTGTGATTGAAGTCAGAAAAGTGTATTTCTTCAACATTAACAAATATTGTTCACAGATTCGTTAATCCATTTGAAGGGCACTCTAATAATTAGTTGTAATTATTGTGTGTTGATTTGTTATCAAATTAATAAGTATCTTAACAAGATACCTAGAGTAACTGTTGATGATGGAAGCACAAAGAAACATAGGTGTCGTGTCAATGTGTAAAATCCCAAACGTTTAAAAATTGTTTTATATATAAAACCACCAGTTAATACTATATTTTTATGCTAAAAAAAATCCAAATATACATTCTAATTGATGATATTGAATTTGACAGTAAACGAATTAAGTCGTGTACTGCAATGATTATCTTATTCATATCTGTTGCATGTGTACGCACCGCGATGTACGCAGACGCACTGAATGTAATGAAATATGTAATGTAATGAAATTGATTTTATGGAGCTGAAATATAAGACTGCACATGGAGTAAAACACTGTTTATTGAAAATATGATGATAGCTAAAACTGTATAAATGATAATGAATAAATGAAAATATGTAACTTGAAACTTGTAATGTAAACTTAAATGCGATATGTTAAATGAATGGAATTGAAATACATGAAATGACATCCGACACGACCGAACGTTGGTGCCTTACTGGCCTGTGCCACTCACACCCACGAAGCCCAGGGGTGGGGACGACACTTGCCGTTTTGGCGCGAACAGCATGGTTAGATTCAAAATATATTTAGTTGAATGCTTAAACTAAATTTTGGAAATCTTTTAGGTATGAAACGAATCAAGATTCGAGAGCTGTACAACTCACCGATGGATATAGCTGTGGTTGCGGATGATATATTTTGGACCAATCATGGATCAGCAAATTTGCTTTGGGTAAACAAGTACGATGATGACGCGGACAGCAGCAAACAGCTCAAGTTGGACTTTACCCACGGGCTCGAGTCTGTGAGGTTGGCAGCAGTGACTGGCCTAGTGTCTGGGAATGATCATCCTTGCCAAAAGAACAACGGAGGCTGCAGTCACATCTGTCTCTTGAAGCCCAACAAACAGGTTTGTAGGGACTTGTGCAGTTGAAAAAGGATATTGTTTTGGCAAATATTTTACATTCTAAATGTGCTACTTATTATGTTCTGAGCAAATTTCTACTGGTCCTAGAGAGGCTATAGATATAATTTCAAATACAATTTACCTATTGGCAAAATAAAACAAAGGTTTCCTGATCCAACAGCTATTTAAAATTGAATTAATTATTTCACCATATTATCACTACTTGATGACAATTACGTAAAATTATTAATCTTATCCTAGAGGGACAAATCCAAAAGACAATAATTAAAAATTTGATTAACGCTTCAGCATGATTGAACAATATGTTTTTATCCAATTGATATTTTGAATTGGATTGATTCTTTTTACATTACTGTCCTACTGAATTCCAGCTAATCTAAACTTTTATACTTTAAACAATTTGGTAATCTAGACTAGGTCTGGTCTTAATTAGTTTGGACTAGCAGGATTCTGGTGAACTCCAATTTAAAACATATCAGTACAAGTCATTTTACCGGCTCACTCCGTGCTCTGCTTGATATGCTCTATGCACAGTCCTTTGACCAGTGCTGTAGTGGAGCAGGAATTGATGGGAACATCGTTCCTAATCTGCCTTTTCCAGTAGTCCTATAAATGAATCCTATTTGTTAGTCAATTCTTAGACAAATGGTCAGCGTCCCCACACACTTTACAACTACACCAAGCTTTGACCCTTGTAGATGGGCAAAATGTCAAGGCAAACAGTGTAAATGCTGATAAAAATGCTAATGGAAAATCTTTACCTGTTATTTACTTATTAAATAAATATTTTGTATTCACTTTTGAAAAACATTTTTTTAATAATCTGCCCTGTTGTGTGTGTGACAGGTGTGTGCTTGTCCCTTTGGCATGGTACTGACTGAGGACAGCCGCACATGTGAGATGCCCAAGCATTGTCAGGTGGGACAGTACCGCTGTACCTCAGGAGAATGCATCTCAGTGGCTCTACGATGCAACCATCGCGTCGACTGTCATAGCGGGGACGATGAGCTCAACTGTAAGACGTTCACTCTGCAGTGCACTCGAGGAACCTTCTCTTGTCACAACGGGGAGAAATGTCTCGACCATGAGAAACGCTGCGATGGCACGACAGATTGTCAAGACGGATCTGACGAAGTCAACTGCTTCACTGAGTCCAGTACTTGCAAACCTGGTAAATTCATTTTTTTTACAGCATAAACGAGTATACAAATGAAAACTTAATTTAGTACAAGCATTTTTGCAATTGACGAGATAACTTTACAGGGATACATTCAAGCAACAAGCAGGTACATTATGAAACAAACAACAACTTTTTGACGATTGCAGGATTTAACACTACAGAAATACAAATGTGAGCGACTTTGAAACATTTTTAAGAGCAGGTTGTCACAAGATAGTAAACACGTCTTGACATCAGAGGTAGCTTCTAAAAGCAGTACTAGCTTGAGCAGGAGGAGGAAAAGTTTTGAATGTGTCCTTAATGTGACTTTTCTTTACACATTTCTTCTATCCTCGTCAAAGCTTCTGAAAAGAAACATTGGGTTTACATATTATGTCCAAATATCAAGTTTATTTACTGTAAAATAAATGTAATTCTTAATTTGTCACTCAAAAACTTCTCCACTTCCACCTATACTCCAAGTAGTAATCAAAATACCACAAAACATAAACTCTAAGTAACCAAAATATGCCAGTAAATTACCATTATCTAATGATAAATTGTACAAATAGTTTACATATACTTTTACTTCAGGTGAGTTCCAATGCAAGAGTGGCCCCTGCATCCCAATGTCCTGGAGGTGTGACGATACCAAAGACTGTGAAGATGAGTCTGATGAGCTACAATGTGATAAAACAACTTGTCACCCGGAGAAAGAATTCAGGTATAACTAAAAAGTTGATTGAAAATAGATTAGTTTTGTATTTTTCCCACTCAAAATACCACTCAACGCAATAGCTATGATTATTGATTTTAACCATAGAAAAGAGGCAGCTTAGTACTGACTTGTTTTTTGCTTGATTAGTAAAAACATTTTTACAAAATACCGGTAGCGTCTTTGTCCCACCAACTGTAGTGGTTTTTACGCTACTAGCTTTTGCAAAATATCATTTTCTCACTGTTCACTTGTGAAAATGTCGTAAATAAAAAACATTTTCAACATAAACCCATAATAAATTAGAATGGTACAGTTGGTAAGATTAATAACTGTATGTTTCCACAGCTCTCACTAATGATAGTGGAATTTTCTTTTTACTATACAATTTTGTTTTGATAACTGTTTCATTTTCTGTAATGCTTCAGTGCAGTGACTTTGAGGAAACGTCCCTCTCCTATTTTAGAGTAAATTTAACTTTGTAAAGTTTTAGTCCTTGGTCAGAGGACAAATAACTAAGTAGTTAATAATTTACTTTTACAAAATATAGTCCCTCTCTGGGCAAAAGGTAAGCCACTAAGCAGATTGATTAATTGTTCAGTCATAATAATTTTCAATTTTGCCAAACAACAAAAATGAATCAAAGACACAACACACTGAAGCGTTATCAGCACTACCAGACTTAGCGTAGTCTACTAGCAGCTCTAGGCCAAACTAACCCAAGCGGAGCGGCCCCCACCCTAGGTGAAAATTCCCTGCAATCGTGGGGACTACATTATCATCACCCACAATCATTCAAATTATTTTTTTTAATTTTAATTTTTGTTCTACATTTTTGTACAAAAGACTGTTAATCACTATAATCACTGCCTTTGCTTGCGGCCCCAGGCCGCGGCTTGGTTAATCCGCTTATCAGACTAAAATATACATTATAATCATTTCCAGCAGATAACTGAAATAAATGTATAAGAGAGTATATTTAATTTCTGGAACTGGCTACCGGTGTGGTTATGAAAAATAATTGAACCTTGAAGGTGTATTACGCTGACTTTATTAACACTTCATGGTTCACTGAGAGTTTACACATTAAATCCATGACACTGGATTGTCCCCATACTTGTTGCATTCTGATTATGTGTGTTGTGTAGATGTACGAGCGGTACTTGTATCCCCTCAAGCTGGGAGTGCGACGGCCAACCAGACTGTAGCGACGCGTCAGACGAACATGACATTTGTGGTCAGTATAACCTCATCCAGGCGAAGTTCTATTACAATTTCTTGCATTAAAAACCTCTCTTGAGTTCAGTGAGCATGAAGATACTAAAAAAAAAACAACATTAAAGATCCATAGAGAACAAAAGAAAACTAAAAAAAAACAAATTAAATGAAAATTTAAAATATTTTTCACTACAAAGGCAAAATGTAATTCTACAAAATGCTGACCCTAAATCAAAACATGACAGCTGGTTATCCTGTATACCATTGAAGAAATTAAATTTAGACATGTTACCTACCCAAAGAATTTAGGGATTCCCTAGCACTGAGATACGGTCGGACACCGATCCATTTACCAACCAAATGTGATGGCTGTGGGAAAGAATTTAATACAGACCATGCCCTTATACTCGTATGTCCTGTAGTTGGCCTAATTATAAAACGACACAATGAAATTAGAGATGCTTTAGGAAACATTATGGAACAGGCATGGGGGAATTGTATCAAAGAGCCCCTTATAGCAGAGAATGGAAATGCAAACGGGCCTGCAATTAAAGCTGACTTGGCATGTAGAGGGGTGTGGGAGACACAGAGGGATGCATTATTTGATATCCGTGTCGTAGACACCGATGCTCCCTCATATATCTCCAAACCTCATGACAATGTCATAAAAAATGCAGAAGAAGAAGAGAAAATAAAGTATATGTCAGCCTGTGAGAGCCGGAATAACTCTTTCACTCCTTTGATAAAATCAGTCGGCGGAATCCTAGGCAACGATTTTCAAACACTAATAAGAGCACTAGCTGAGAGATTGTCAGAAAAATGGGTTAAACCTTACAGCCTGGTAGTTAATTGGATCAGAACAAGACTGACTTGCTCAATTGCTTGAGAAGATCTCGAAAAAGATGGAGATCTGCTCGAGAATTCGAAGATGGAGCAGGCATCCAACATATATATTGAAAGAATAGAAATTTTTAGTAACAGGCCTATCTGTAAAATTAAATTTATTTGTCTTGTAATTATCTATATATTCATGCTTAAGTTTTTACTGGACACCAACCAGCTTATTATATTTGGCAATGAGTGGTTATAAACAAAAACATAATCATGAGTAGTGATTGTTATTCCTTTAGTCGGTGGAAGGATTTGTAAAGTGGTGTTATTGTTAAGTTAGCTTAGAGTAGTATGGCGTGAAATATCGTACGTCACTCGTCCAAAATGTGTTAACCGGACTCACACTCGTCCGGTAAACAGCTATTTTAAGAACTAGTAACGTATAATACTATTTACTACTCTATTGGTTTTACAAAATACTTATTTATATCATTATTATAAAGTAGATTCAATTAGCTGAGCAGGAACTGCTTTAATATATAGAATTCAGCTTGCTTACTTATTGTAAAATACGGATAAAGCAACTAGCATTAACATATTTTTTAGAGAAAGGAAACTTGTTGTGAAAAAGTGCTAATTATTGTTATTCATGGTGTAGTAACCCAGAGCAGCTGTGCGCCTGATCAGCTGGTGTGCAACAATGGCCGCTGTGTAGATCGTCAGTTGATCTGCGATGGACGGGACGACTGTGAGGATGGGACAGACGAGACAGACTGTCGCGGAGCCACAGCTTTGGCCGAGGAGGAGGGTCAGGTCCCTCGACATATTGATGAGACCACCTCGCCGTCTCAGCGGCTACAGTGCAACGACACGGAGTTTGTGTGTGACATCTGCCTACCTTCTACTGCCAGGTTTGTTACAGTAGATTTTCACTTTTCAATGTTTTGATTTTGAATTAAGTATGGTGTTTATAGTACGTTTGCAAAGCTTACAAAATATTATTACTAAAATTTGCATGTTAGTTAAAGTTTTTTCATTACGGTACATAGATATTGTGACATGAGTGATAAGACCTCAATTTTTTAAGTTGCTCTTATTCATTGCCCCCCCCCCCTTCAGCCTCAAATACAAGGTAAAATTTTTAAAAATGTGATAAAAAATTGTTACATCTGTTTAGGAGATACATTGTTTTTTATAAAAAAAGGGTTGTGTGGCACTTAAAAAAGTATGAAGAAGGTAAGCTTACCATTGTTTACTGTAGGAATTTCCAGGCATACTAAACTCGTCTGTTGTAAATTTGGTTCTATGGGAGCAATATTTTGGATATGAAACCATTATTGTATTTAGTGTTGACTTGAATTATTGGCAGTGGCGGTTCTAGGACCATGTCAAGGGGGGGATAACCGGGGTGTCCTAAACCAGGAGGGGATTTGCTATTTTTAAAGCCGCGCTTGGTGACTTTTAAATGCTATTTTCAACGTCTATAACTGTGTCGAAAAACCTGCAGTTGCATTTCTATTTTAAAATATTTATTTTTAAATATATATTTTCAGGGTCTAAGGTGGGGGCTTTGCCCCCCCCCCTTGGAACCGCCACTGAGCATCAGTCCTAAACTAACTGACAGATTTATAAATGTTTTCGAAACATCTAAATGAACATTTTCACTTCAATCTGTCAATAAAAAGAATGAATGAATTTCATTTTTATCCGTCCCACAGATGCAATGGGACGGCAGAATGTCTCCGGGGAGAGGATGAGACAGGATGTGACGGATGTCTGGAGCACCAATTCCAGTGTCCGGAGACTGGCCGATGTATCCCGCAGGAGTGGACGTGCGACAGAGCCAACGACTGCGGTGACAACTCAGACGAGGACCCTTCACTGTGTCAGCATCGCGGCATTGCTAACAAAGCCCTCGGTCACGGTACGCATCAGAACACACAGCCAACACTGAAACATTTATTGTTCAACATGTAATGATTGTTGTACCAAAAACTAGGTCTTGATGCAGCAGCGTTTGCTAGAAACCATTAATAATGTTGCGGCAGTCTCAAGCAATAACCTAAGAGTAACCTTTTAATTTTAATAATTTAATTAAAAATTGAATATCTTTGTAAACAATAAATTGCAAAAAATTGCATTTGTATTTTTCTATCCAATCAGAGGCTAGTAAAAATATTTAATTCAAGTTAGATAAATTGAAATGAAAGTGAGAAAGCAAAAACTGGAAAAGCAACATTTCATTAAATATTTGTACAATGTTGGATAGATGTACAAATTAAATCCCTACGGAAGTAGTGGCAGGTTTTATATCAAATCTTTCGCTGTCATAATTCAAAATTTTATCTTTATTATAGGTATATCTGAGTGCCTTGAGTTCACATGTAAGAATAAGAAGTGTTTGCCATTCATCAAAGTGTGTGACGGCAAAGCAGATTGTGAGGACGGAAGTGACGAAGGAGGCAGATGTGGTGAGTTTCTGCCTTCGAGCAGTTGTGTGTGTTAAAGCAGTTGTGTGCCTTGGAACAGTTGTGTGTTACCTGGGCAGTTATGTATGTCTTTGAGCAGCTGTATTGTGAAGAATTGATTTTTCTTGGAGTGGATGGATGGATGTCTTGGAGTAGAGTTGTGAGTCATAGTGATTTTAAATATTTAAACCGTAGTTAACAGTCAAATTTATTACTTTACAAACACTAAATAGACATACAGTTGGAGGTTTGAAAATATTTCATAAATAGATATGACAGATAAAGCCTTGAGTCAAGAATTTTTGTAAAGTTCACCGAAAGAAGATTTTATCCTATTCACTATTTATATAGTTTTACAAATAAATATAGTTTACTTAAAATTACAAAATTAAATATGTATATAAATTGGTTTTTCCCATTTTTGACCCTAGAAACAAAAAAAAATAGCAATTTCTCTCCAAACCATTTTGTAGAGCTTAAAAAAAAGATATAATTTAGTATATTGAACCGCTGTTGTATGCCTAACGGTCACAGAGCAAATTTAAAAAAGTGTAATTTAAAATCCCCCCCTCCATGAAAATGAAAACAGTTGTAGTTTACTTGTTTATGGATATATGTTGATAAAATTTGGCAAATTTATTTATTTCATCCTATACTATTGACATATGGTTAAAACACACGTTTTATTTTCCCCGTAGCAGCAAACCAAAGTGTTTCTGTACAATTATTGATTACAGAGAAAATTCTAAAAATTGTTATTTTAAAATGCCTATGTTATTCATATAGAGAATATTGTGAAATGTTGTAGTTTGCATGTTTATGGATATATTTCGATCAAACATGGTAAATTTATTTATTTTACACCAAGTATTAATATTTTACTAAAAAAAACACTTGTTTACCCTCCCTGTAGCAGCAAGCCTAGGTACTGATAAAACCTAATGTTAATTAAACACATTTAATTGTAAATCAATTCAGGCAAATGGAAATTCGCTTAGTCAGCAGGTTTGCTTCGGCGGGGGTATTTTATCAATATCCTTTCTTTTAATCACAGATTGTATCATAATCATAAAAAAATGAAAATTAGTTTAGCTTCAAAGGTTTTATTTTAAGGTCTTACACACATGTCAGTTAGTTGCTGCAACCTAGCCACATTGTCGAATGAATGGGTTTTAAGCAACATATTTCCAATGTAGTAAAAGTAAAAGGTTGTGATTTGTAGATGTTTTACCAAAGCGGTCATGAACTAGAAGCTTCAGTCCACTCAATCAATACTTTACGAGTTAGTGTATAAATAGCAAAGCCTTAACACAAAGCACGTGCTATCTCCAGGTCGAGGTTGTGCTGATGCTGGGTGTATGGACAAATGTCAAGAGACACCCAGCGGCCCCAAGTGTGCATGCTTCCACGGCTATCAGCTGAGCGGTGACAGCAAGAGCTGCACAGATGTTGACGAGTGTGCGCTCGGCATCTACTGCTCTCAGTTCTGCCACAACACACCCGGCAGCTTCTCCTGCAGCTGTCAATACCCTGACTACCAACTACGTGAAAACCGCATGACCTGCAAAGCCAAGGGTATGAACCAGCAATTTGATTGACTTTTGTGTAATTTTCAAACCTGTCTGTGTTGCCAAACCCAGTTCCTAGTTTTTAACTTTTTCACTTTTTGTCCGATGGAAATAGTTGTTCAATATCATTATGAACGGTGAATCTGATTTTTAAACTATACTAATACGCTTAGGTAAGTTATAGTTGATTTAAAATTTTTTTCTATTTCCTTCATTTCTGTCCCCTTATTCCCCCCCACCCCCTATTATTGTCCCTATTATTGTGTTGTTGTTATTGTTATTTCCCCTTATTCTGACCCTTTATTCGCAAATCTGGCAACCTAGTTATGATATAGGATTAGTCCACTGTACCACTTTGGACATATCATCTTATATATTTAAAAAATTTGGGTTTTCTTTTCCGAGTTCGTTTGGCTCTTCTACCCGACCAATTGCCATCAAGCATCGGCATATATTTATCTATAATCCCACTCGGCTTATATGTAAACAAAATTTGCTCCCCATGTATTTCTTATGGGAGTTATTTTTTTTCTTTTCCAAGTTTGTTAGGCTCTTCTACCCGACTGATTTACATGATTGAGGTCTCAAATTGAAGTTATGCACGGACAGATTTGCCAACAAGCATCGGCATATATTTATCTACTTGATTTGAGCTATTGATCGTTTGAGTCAGTTAAGCTCAAGATACTGTTTTCTCTATCATAAATCATGAATTTGATTATTTCTCTGATATTATATTTATTTTATCGCTGCGGAGCAGCATGGACCCTCTAGTTTTGTATTAACTAGTTTGTTACATTTCGAGGCTATCCCGTTATTTCATTCTCCATTCTTTCTTGTAAGTTAGGTATAAAAGAGGAAAAAAAACTACCTTTTTTTTATTCGCCATTTGCATACCTTAGAATAAAAAATTGAACAACTCTTTATAAACTGTTTATAAAACAGTGCCTAAATAATGTGCAGGTCACGAAATGGCTCTTGTGTTTGCTACCAACAACGAGATACGCTACGTGACACAGACACGATCAAAACTTGGGGTGATTCATAAATCTCAAACACGGAACTTTCAAGTCTCAGGACTGGACGTTGACTCTCGGAGACGCTGCATTTACTGGAGTTCAGGTAATGTGCACTTGCTATGAAACACATTAAATAGTTTGTAGTGCTGTTCATGAATGGCTTGGAGGGTTATTGTTCATTATTGCTATGGAGGAGTCATGTTTTTACAAATGTACCAGATAACTTTGTAACTTCTAAGGATATACATGTTGCTTCAAATCTAAAAATTAAGGTTGTTTGTGTGATTCTTGATTTGTTTACATGTTCAAACCAGTAAATTGTACAGGTTTTGCATAAAACGATTTCTCAAAATATTATATTGTCATAACTTTTACCTACGCCGGTTTTTAAAGTAGCCGTTTCAGAGCAGTTCTTAGAGTTGAAAAGTTTCACATGAAAGCATTGTTTACTTTCATAACAGCTTAGTTTTACCACTCATAACAACACAGGTAAAGGACCAATGAGGTTCAAGGATTGAGAGAGAAGAAGTAAAACTGTAATGATTCGAACTTCAACTAATCAGCTGTTCACGTCAATTTAATTGTTGAGTGGTGCAATTAGTGTATGGTACATTGTTTTGTTGTATCACTGTCAGTGGCAATAAGAGGTTATAAACAAAACTTAACCTCTCTTAGAAGTTATGAGTAGTGAAGGCTCATACCTAAAATTTTCTACTCGTGTCGTTAACACTATCTTTACGCAATCGTTGCCTAAACTACTATAATACTTAAAGTATCATTTTATAGGTAAAATACATGTGTATATTTTTCTACCTGAACTGAACGATTTTGCAATATTCTGTTAGTTACATGAAAAAGACAAATGTGTGCAAATGGCAAATATGTTTTTGAAACTGCAAGAGCTGTACCTATCAAGATCATACATCAACTTTTTTATCTTCCTTTAGCAACAGTGGGGACTATCACACGCAGTTGCAACAAGAACGAGACATCGATGACATCACTGGTGAGACCAGGCAAGCTGGCTGTGGATTGGGCAACTGAAAACGTGTATTTTGTGGAGAGGGATCACATAGTGAAGGTGTGCAACTTCAACGTAGGCAAGTGTTCCATCGTCGTCAAAGCAGCTCCTGAAGTCACCATAGACACACTTGCTGTTGATCCTACCAAGAAGTGAGTCACCGCTTACATTGTTATCTAATGAGAAACCTTGATTACAAGCCTAACTATTAATCTTTTAGCTGCTTTTATCGTTGTATCTATATAGTTTATTTTAAATCCCAATTCAAGAACCTAAATTATGTTAGATTACCTATATTGTTGTAGCATTTAGTTCTTAGGTAATAGTCCAAGAATTTTAGGAATAATAAAGCCATTCGACCTAACAAATTCGGACTAAGTGGAAACTTTGCACAGTTGTTAAGTAAGCCTAAATAAATAAAATTTCAAAAGTCCCCATAAATCCCTGCTGTGCTTCAGCCGCCATCTTGGAAAATGGCGGCTAATTTTCACTTTTTTGACAATATTTCACAAACTATTGGTATTAGAGAATTTTTGTAAATACAAAAGTTAAAGAACGTCTAAAAATACATCTTTTTTATATTACAAGGTTTTCTCTATCTCTAATGTTTATTGAGACAAATAATAAAAGTTAGTATTAAATAAAAAATTCCCATGTTATTCTTACGGAGGAAAATAAAATTGTTGCATTTTGCTTATTTATGGATATATTTTTATCAAACTTGGCAAATTTATTTATTTTATACTAAGCTATTAATATTTAACATAAATATACACTTTAATACCCTCCCTATAGCAGTAAACCTAGTACTCGTTAAATTTAAAGTTTTTTAAATAGGGAATCTATCTTACATTTTTTTTATTAGGATATATTTTAGTAATGATCCAGTCCGGCAAATGGAAATTTATTTTTTTAGACATATTAACAATAGATTTCCCTTATTAATATTAGTAAGTTTAAAGCTCACTCACTATATTTTCACTACTATGTAACTGCTTACATGGTAGGCCTACTTATTACTCCCGGTATAATTATTTTGTCGGTAAATATTAGGAAATTCAACCTTAAAATCCGGACTTAATGCGGCTGAGGCACAGCCGGTATTTTTGGGAACTTTTGCCATTTTCATCAACTAGTCTCACTGTGCTTAACTGTGCAAAATTTCAATTTAGTCCGGATTTTAAGGTTCAATTTCCTTATATTTACCGACAAAAAATTATACCGGGAGTAATAAAGTAGGTACCACTTAATTTTTTAGTAGTTACATGGTAGTGACAAAATAGTAAGTGGGCTTAAAATCATAATACTAATAAGAAACATTATTGTTAATATGATTGAAAAATTAATATCCATTGGCCTGACTGGATTTTTACTAAAAATATATCCTAAAAATGTAAGATAGATTCCCTATTTAAATAACTTTAAATTTAACGAGTACTAGGTTTACTGCTATAGGGAGGGTACTAATGTGTATATTTATATTAAATATTAATAGCTTAGTATAAAATAAATAAATTTGCCAAGTTTGATAAAAATATATCCATAAATAAGCAAACTGCAACAATTTTATTTTCCTCCGTAAGAATAACATGGGAAATTTTTTTTAATACTAACTTTTATTATTTATCTCAATAACCATTAGAGATAGAGCAAACCTTGTAATATAAAAAAGATGTATTTTTAGACGTTCTTTAACTTTTGTATTTACAAAAATTCTCGAATACCAATAGTTTGTGAAATATTGTCAAAAAAGTGAAAATTGGCCGCCATTTTCCAAGATGGCGGCTGAAGCACAGCAGGGATTAATGGGGACTTCAGAAATTTTATTTATTTAGGTTTACTAAACCACTTTGCAAAGTTTCCACTTCGACCGAATTTGTTAGGTCGAATGGCTTTATTATTCTTCCACTATAAAGATGTTTGTGTCACACTATGCATTTCGCAAGCTTTTGTGGCATCTTCAGGGGTGTTCTTAAGTTCTTCTTATCACTAACACTATGGTCTATACTGTATTTACAAAAATATTTATTTTCACACACGGTAACTAATATCGCGGTTGGATGGATCGGACAACACAACAAAAGACACACGGCAGTAGGTCTTTCTTCCTCTGCTACATTTCTTGGACTGGGGTTGTTGGCACTAGGGCCATTCAATGTTTGAGGGTAGTTTAGACTTTCCTGGTTTATGGTCGGGCGGGAGCTTTGATCTCTGTAGTGTTGCCGGTTTGTTGCTGTGTTGTGGTGATGTGGAGTAGTATGAGTGTAAATGAAGATACCTGGGCCCTATATATCTTCCTCTAACCACTGCCAAATCACGCACATCTCCTGTCCTAACCCAACTCTATTGCAAGGAATTAATCTAACTCGTCAAAGTGCACAATATTACCTTAGCTGCCTATCACAGCCAGCTTTTATGTTCTTAATGTATCTAATTATAATATAATGAACAGAGAAATATATATATATGGACTTATTCTAATTCGTGAAAAAGGTTACTAGACTTAGCAAATGTGAATTCTAATTTACGATATTAATTGCCAGACCACGACCCTTCGAGAACCTAATAAACTACATGATTGAATTACCTTTTGCCCCAACCTACACCCCTTCCCCAACCCCTACTTCTATTAGCTAGACATCTTAGGCTACAGTCTACTTATCCGATCAGATGTACAGCTCCAGGCGCTCGACACTACACTGTACTCGTCTCTTGGTTCGCTGCGCGTGCCTACCCGGGTCGACTGCGCGCGCATCGTGGTCACGTGACTTGCGCTATTGTAGCGGTCCGCTACATCCTCCCCCCGGTGGGGTTGTTTTTTTTTCTTTTCCTAGTTTTGGGGTGATTTTGGGGTTTGGGAAAGATGAAGGACGAAGAAATTTTTTTTTTTTTTTTTTTTTTTTTTTTTTTTTTTTTTTTTATTGTGCTCGCCGTGAGATTGTGTCGTTGTGACATCGGTGTCGGTGTGGGAATGTTCCAACAGTTTTCTGCACTCCTTTTGGTTTGACTCATTTGAGGTTATAATGTGTGTCGGTCTTGCTTATAAACTATTAACTATTTTTTTTTTTTCTAAACTAAAGGTGACTATGGTTTTGAATGAATTTCTTATAACTATGTTTGGTGGGATTGCTTAATCTAAACCTGCTCTAAAAAAATGTGGGCGGGCGTATATCAGTGATAGATTTAATTAAGTTCGGTTGAGAAAGATCTGTTGGTTGATGAAGTTGGATATATGATTGATGATGATGAATTTGGGAATGTTGTCGAAATAGTGAGGGTTGATGAAATTTGATGGTTGTATTGAATTCTGGTAATTGCTGGTAAATTTGGAAGGTTGCTGAAGTTTGATGAGTTTCTTGAAGTTGAGTATTTGGAAGAATGAAGTTGTGTAAACTGAAGAATGAAGCTGGAGTAGTGTTCTGAAGTTCTTGAAGGTATACTGTTGTGATGTGATGTGACGTAATTTCGTAATTAGCTCTTGAGCCCTTACTAAATTCGGGGCGCTAATTATATCGCTGGACGCCTCTTAATGGTGGATGAAATGCGTTGGGTTTTGAAGTTGATATGAGGTTGATGATACGCTTACTCAGATGTGAATTTGGAGATTGTTTTGATTGATGATTAATTATTTTGATGTTAGTTATCACTGATATATTCCCTAAATATTCGGTAAAAATTGATCGCGACTACTCTACTTAAGTTTACTATTGATACTTATGATCTAAATGAATTTACTAATAATAAGAAATTGTTCTACTTAATTTAAAAAAAGGAATTTAATTTACTGAGTATAAAAGGGAAAAAATCTAATGTTTATCTACTTAAATGCTATGGATTTGATTGACTGGGAGATATATTACTAAGTTTCTGTTGATTTACTAATAATAAATTAATTAACTAGTGTGACACACATTATACACTCTTTCAGTTTGGATGCTATTCATGGTTGAATGGAGTTTCGAAAATCTGTTGGTTGATGTAAGGAATGATAGTGTTATTGTAAGTGTACATTCATTCGAAGCTCCTCTAGTGCCAATTATCAAGAATTATGCACAGAGGTATTAAATAATAATTATTTATTTCACCGACGGCTTAGCACAATTTAATTTTTTAAACAAATATTGTTTTAATATTTTCCTTCAATGTGAAGGATTGATCGGTGCTTGGTTTGATTATTTATATAGGGCGGAAGTAGAGGTTTGAATGGAACAGATGTTTGTACTGATAACGACGGTGTTATCTCGTGCCTGGCGCTTGCTATTGTCTGTTTCCTACTAGTCCATTTCCTTCTCTGTCGCTCAGCAACATAAATATATTTATCTATATTTTTGTATTTTATTTTAACGCATGCAAGTGTATAACACATAATAAACATTTAAATTACCCTTTATAAATATATAATACATAAACTCTTCTGCTACGCTCAGAATACTGCTTGTTATTTACAAACATATGTATTGTAATGTGCGCTGTTATCTACTTTGATAACGATTGTATTACGCCTAAATACCATATATCTTATTTTAATATACGTGGATGACTTTACTTACTTAATACTTTTTATGTAATGTTGTATTTACCTTTGCGATTCAATTGCTTATATTAACACAGAAATACTTAATTTTACTTAATTCTACTTAGTTCTACTTAGCCTAATTACCATAGTTTAAAGTCTAGCTTGTTCTGTAGTCAGTTGTCTCGTTCATGTGTTGTCATTTTTCAGTCCAGTACTGTTAGTGAGTGTTTGTTGTCATAAGTAAACTGTCGGCTGCACTATTCATATGACAGTTGCAATCTGTCATAAGAATGTGTTATGGCGAACGATTCCCGTCATAGCCAATTTGAGCAAATTAAAAATAAAAAATTACTTAAAAAAAATTAGTCGTTTGCTCAGATTGTAAGTTTTAAGGGGATTGAAAAAGTTGTTGATTACTGGGGTCTGGAAATGCATATATTAAGTACAAACACTATGACGTGTTTCGCTGCCAACTTGCCACGTGTTGTCGCTTCCGGCTTTCCGGCCAAGCGGTGCGTCGAGAGGTGTAGCCGCACCCTCTGTGAAGGTACGGCTTAGACTCAACTCCCAACACCCTATCAGCCGGGGCCGGAGTTGTATTGTGTACCGTATTGTTGAGAAGTATTGTTGCGAAGT